TATAATTATCATGTATTATGTTCCCTATATCAGGTAAATAATATGTTTTAGTTTGTGAGAATAATAATACTGGACTTAAAGGGTATCTGAGCAAATAATACATTCATTGTCAGTATTCACTTGTAACAACACTCTTCAAATCAAATCAAATTGTATTGGTCACATACACGATTAGCAGATGTTATTGCAGGTTTAGCTAAATGCTTGTGTTCCTATCTCCAACAGTGCAGTAATATCTAACATCACACTACAATACACACATCTAAAAGTAAATGAATATAATTAACAAACATAGAAATATTAGGATGAGCAATGTTGGAGTCTGGAGTATAAATATAAATATAAATATATACACTACCGGTCAAAGGTTTTATAACACCTACTCATTCAATGTTTTTTCTTTATTTTTTTACTATTTTCTACATTGTAGAATAATAGTGAAGACATTAAAACTATGAAATAACACATATGGAATCATGTAGAAACCAAAAAAGTGTTAAACAAATCAGAGATTCTTCAAATAGCCACCCTTTGCCTTAATGACAGCTTTGCACACTCTTGGCATTCTCTCAACCAGCTTCACCTGGAATGCTTTTCCAACAATCTTAAAGGAGTTCCCACATATGCTGAGCACTTGTTAGCTGCTTTTCCTTCAATCTGCGGTCGGACTAATCCCAAACCATCTCAATTTGGTTGAGGTCGGGGGATTGTGGAGGCCACGTCATCTGATGCAGCACTACATCACTCTCCTTTTTGGTCAAATAGCCCTTACACAGCCTGAAGGTGTGTTGGGTCATTGTCCTGTTGAAAAACAAATGATAGTCCCACTAAGCCCAAACCAGATGGGATGGCGTATTGCTGCAGAATGCTGTGGTAGCCATGCTGGTTAAGTGTGCCTTGAATTCTAAATAAATCACAGACAGTGTTTCCAGCAAAGCACCACCACACCATAACACCTCCTCCTCCATGTTTCATGGTGGGAAATACACATGCGGATATCATCCATTCACCCACACCGCGTCTCACAAAGACACGGCGGTTGGAACCAAAAATCTCCAATTTGGACTCCAGACCAAAGGACATATTTCCACAGGTCTAATGTCCATTGCTCGTGTTTCTTGGCCCAAGCTAGTCTCTTCTTCTTATTGGTGTCCTTTAGTAGTGGTTTCTTTGCAGCAATTCCACTATGATGGCCTGATTCACACAGTCTTCTCTGAACAGTTGATGTTGAGATGTGTCTGTTACTTGAACTCTGTGAAGCATTTATTTGGGCTGCAATTTCTGAGGCTGGTAACTCTAATGAACTTATCCTCTGCAGCAGAGGTAACTCTGGGTCTTCCATTCCTGTGGCGGTCCTCATGAGAGCCAGTTTCATCATAGCACTTGATGGTTTTTGCTACTGCACTTGAAGAAACTTTCAACATTCTTGAAATTGTCCGTATTGACTGACCTTCATGTCTTAAAGTAATGATGGACTGTCGTTTCTCTTTGCTTATTTGAGCTGTTCTTGCCATAATATGGACTTGGTCTTTTACCAAATAGGGCTATCTTCTGTATACCTAACTTGTCACAACCCAACTGATTGGCTCAAACGCATTAAGAAGGAAAGAAATTCCACAAATTAACTTTTAAAAAGGCACACCTGTTAATTGAAATGCATTCCAGGTGACTACCTCATTAAGCTGGTTGAGAGAATGCCAAGAGTGTACAAAGCTGTCATCAAGGCAAAGGGTGGCTATTTGAAGAATCTCAAATATAAAATATATTTTGATTTGTTTAACACTTTTTTGGTTACTACATGTTTCATATGTGTTGTTTCATAGTTTTGATGTCTTCACTATTATTACAAATAAAGAAAAACCCTTGAATGAGTAGGTGTTCTAACACTTTTGACCGGTAGTGTATATATATATATATACACACACTACCGGTCAAAAGTGTTAGAACACCTACTCATTCAAGGGTTTTTCTTAATTTGTAATAATAGTGAATATGTGATGGGATGTATAGACATTATGGACAGTATGTGGATAGAACATGTAGTATATCTGAAGAATACGTAGGATAGAATAGAATATGTACAGCAATAGTTAAATAGGATAGGCCTTGACTAGAATACAGTACATACATATGAAGTGGGTAAAACAGTATTTAAGCATTATTAAAGTGACCAGTGTTCCATGATTAAAGTGACCCGTGTTCCATGTCTATGTACATAGGGCAGCAGCCGGGTCGTAGCTGGCTACATGTTATTACTTTATTGTGTATCATAATGTAAAGTATTGTAATGTAAAGTATTGTAATGTAAAGTATTGTAATGTAAAGTGCTGCCGGTTTTTCCATACTTGCAAATATCGGTTTAGGGTTACAGTATATTCTGATTATCTATCGAAACTATTGGGTTGCTAGATGTATGTTTCTGTGCAACAATATAGACTATATAATGAAGAATGTAATAATTTGGCACAGCAACAAACCTACCAAGAGAGATCAACCTTCTAATAATATGGTAAATTCCTATTTATACATGTTAAAAACTATATAAATCTTCCAACATTAGACATTAGTTAATCTATTGAGAATCCTTAGAAGTATCCGTTTTCATTTAGTGTGCTGTGGGGTCAGAGTGTCCATAAAGTGGGCCTAATGGCTGTGTAAACACAGTATGCGTGTTAGAGACCCAGCTTATTACACAGGCCCACATTCCACCACTTCAAAGCGCAGACTGTAATTACAAGGCTTGAGGTGTGTCCAAACATACCAACAAAACCAGAAGCTGCCTTCTGACGTTTTTACCCCCCTCCACTTTTTTTATCAAGCCCAAAGAGATTACGGAATAAGGAAGGAGGATGTGTTTGTAATTTTCTACTCAAGGGGGTTCCTCCTGCTGAAAATCTCCTTGGTCCACGTTCGGTTCGCACGCGGCTTGTCACTTTCTTTTATTCCTCATGTCTCAAGAGTTTCCACAGCACTATTGCATTGAGTTGGCTATACAGATGTAGGATCTTAATTTGAGCCAGTTTGCTACAGCAGGAAAAATAATCCTGAAGCAACAGGACATTTGAATTATTATGTGGATTATAATTAATGGACATTTTTGTAGTCGTTGATACATTTTGGTAGGGGAAAATCAAGTCTGAAATTTCAAAACTTTAGAAGCCTTTTTAAACCTCAAACACACTACAAGTTTAAAAATGTCCTGCGTTGCAGGAAGGTTCTCCTGCAACAGGGTGATCAAATTAAGATTCTACATCTATAGGCTACATGCAGTTTACATGTCTCACTACCACGTGACCCTGTGACAGGCTGTGTGTAGCAGGGCCGGGACTGTGATCGACAAGGTGCCTGAGGGTGGGGGCGTGACCAGAGCAAGTGGGGAGGTGACTACTGAGTAGAGCCGCAAAACTGCAACAGTTTCTCCCCTGAGGAGCAAGGCTTTCATCTGCCCGCTCACTGGCGCCTTCGCAAACCTCAGATTGTCTGTGAAATCACCCTGTTTAATAACGCACAGCCTCATGGGAACGGCGCCCTCGCTTAGTCTCAGCCCTGTAGGCCCCCAGTACATGCACACACACACACACACACACACACACACACACACACACACACACACACACACCACACACACTGCTCTTACCAGTCAAACTGGGCAGCTGAGTTAGTGATAGACCTTGTGATTATCAAATAGTGGCTGTTTATTTCTTATGCCAGTAGTACCATTTGTAAAGGTTTTTGTTTAGGAAATGTAATATTACAAAATTATAGAACAAATAGTTCCTTATAGTCATGAATTTCATAAAACAAATGCTTTGAGCAGCACAGTAACTTATTTGGCTTTTGGAATCTGGGCTTTTTGGAATCTTGAAAACATAACCAACGCGACTGAAAACATAATTTAGCACAGAGAAAATGATGTATAGACCTACAGTATTCTTATACTGTAAGTGCAACTGTTGAACTGTAGGTATGTAAGTCCTCTTCATTTCAACATAGCCTACTGACGGAAGAATGTTATAGAAATCATAAAGGAATTAATCAAATGAATAACTGTAAATGGATGTTTGATTAACACTTATGTATTAACACTAGGGATAAACAGATGTGGGTAGCATATGTTGCACCATTTGTTTAAGTAGACTACCACGTTTATCTACCTGGATCTGATGGATGTAGTCTGTTTTTAATAAAGACACAAAATCTGCAAATGCTATAAAAAAAGTATTTTGTCAGTCTCAAAAATGTGCTGAAATAACGAAGCAGTGATAAAGTCAATATGACAGACATTTTTACAATTAGAATAGAGACTGCTACAACAACTTTTCCAAAAACCAATGAGGCTATTCACACTTTTTTAAAGGTAATGAAAATTCGAATTACATTTAGAATTAGAATAACTACCGGTACCAGTAGGGCCACTCATAGCCGCCGGAAGATGTTTGGGGGTGGGGGCTGCTGCGATTTTTGTTGTTGACTGAGCCACAGACGGCTATACGGGTTACAATAATAGTACAGAACCCCTACTTCCCGCGGCTATGGGCACACATTAATTAAGAGAGCATGATAAAGATTTGGGCTACAGAGGAAGCACTTTCCCACCACATTTGTGTATCCTGGTTTGACACACCAACAACGTTTTACAATCAGGAAAAGTCACATCCTGAGAGAGATTGTTCATCTCTTTCATAATTGGGCGTAAATTACCCACATGGGGCCTGTGTTTACACAATCTCTTGAGGTTAGGTTTGAAGTAATCCGTCACAGTACACCGTGTGGTATAGCCTACCGCATATATTTTTGAACCCTTGCGTGAGAGACCAATCAACGGTAACAAGGTCCGCTCTTACATTTTGGCAGCGCTGCGATTGGCCGAAAGTTCCACTGGCGCCACGTGATTATTTTACTTTCCCCACACTTGACAGCTCGGGTCCCCATACTTTGAAGGCCACCTGTAGCTGATACTGCCAGTCTTGTCGTGTGCCATTCGGACATATTTCGGGGGAATGTCTGCCCATGTGAGTTTGAGGGATAGCAGTTCATCGGAGGAGGACAGCCGACCCGAGCTGGAGAGGACGATGGATGACCGCAAAACTCATGTGACAACACACCATCATCCCTTCAGTGTGGAGGCTATAATGTCGGGTAGAAAGATTCACAGTGAGTTTACAAAACAACCCGACAATGTCTCTGTGGTTACATTTTCAAAGACTCAGAACTCTCCGTACCTGTGCAGAGAGACTTACAGCCCTCCCGCTGGAATCCGAAAGCACTTTATCCCACCGTCGCCCGTAAAGTCGGAGTCATCCGAGCCGGACGACTGTGCTCCCTGGGTTATGAGCCCAAGATTCTCTGCACAAACTCGTAAGTAACTTTTGGACAATTGAAAGTAAAATGAAATCTGTGGTTTTTATGTAGGCTAATTGGAACACATTTGGAAGGTGTGCTTCTTACCTCACTATTTCCCATAATCTATTATTTTATATTTACGGGAAAAAAAGTAAAATAATTATCATATTGTAAAATACAAATCAAATTAACATATAATTTGTACGTGTGCTGCCTGTCTCGCAATAGCCAATTGTACGGCAGACAAATGCAATTGATTTAACAGGGTGTAAACTAAAAGGCTTTTTGCAAGTAATAACTTTGTCTAAAAACCCTTACCATAAAGTAAGAGTCTTGATATTCAATCTATTAGACCAATCTGTGAAAAATAAGTATTAGGAAAATCATTTGGATAGGCCTGGGCCACAGAGACATCTTTTCAAAGTTCTTTGAGTTAATAAAATGGCGTATTGATTTAACAGGGTGTAAACTAAAAGGCTTTTTGCAAGTAATAACTTTGTCTAAAAACCCTTACCATAAAGTAAGAGTCTTGATATTCAATCTATTAGAACTTAGACTCAACTTCATCTTTAATTTGAAAACAATATTCAACCATTTCTATTATTTATTTGGGATATTAAGATGTATTTATATCTATCTTTTTGGCATATCAGGCAGGTCTTCAAACCCTTTAATTGAGTTTGTTCATGTGGTTTATGTGTAATTGTCAGCATTGCTTAAATCAACAAATAATAGTCCTCTCCTCCCTTGACAGGAGTATGTGTATCCATTACAATGTTTGACGTTTCCATTTAACAATAAACCACAACGAGCTGAGTAAGAAACAGTTGACTGGATCAGATATTACATCACTCTTCAAAATCACTCTATTTTATGCAAAGAAAATCTCATATGGTCCCCTGTTTCATACTGGTCCCCTGTAGCTCAGTTGGTAGAGCATGGCGCTTACAACATCAGGGTTGTGGGTTTGTTTCCCACGAGGGGCCAGTATGAAAAATGTATACACTCACTAACTGTAAGTCGCTCTGGATAAGAGCGTCTGCTAAATGACTAAAATGTAAAATGCAATATGGTCAATTGACTTGTACAGCACTTAGGGGAAACTAGTATGCCTAGGTTTCAATTTCAGTTTAAAATTGCTATCGGCCCAACCAATACCTTTGGGCACACACACAATCAATTTATACTGTATCTGTAACGTTGTTCATTTTTATATCAGAATGATGTGATAATACTACATTAAGTATAGGTTTTCTATCAGGATCAGGACAAAGTACATTTACTTTCTCACTCAAGTAGCTTATCCATGTGTTAAATGAAATGAGTATTGGCTCTGATCCTCTCTCTGTCTCGCTCTCTCTGTCTCTCTCCAGGGCATGTAAGTCCTACCTGTCCTCTGCGGAAGCACAAGACCAACAGAAAGCCTCGTACTCCCTTCACCACCTCCCAGCTGCTGTCTCTGGAGCGTAAATTCCGTCAGAAGCAGTACCTGTCTATTGCCGAGCGGGCCGAGTTCTCCAGCTTTCTGACCCTGACTGAGACCCAGGTCAAGATCTGGTTCCAGAACCGCCGGGCCAAGGCCAAGAGACTACAGGAGGCTGAGCTGGAGAAGTTCAAAATGGCTGCCAAACCCGCGCTGCACCCAGGCTTTACATTACCCATGCCCCTGGGAGCCCAGCTCCACACAGCTGTCTCCCTCTACGGACAGTCCTACCCCTACCACCGGCCCATGCTGCCCCTCTCACCGATGGGGCTGTACGCTACACCGCTGGGCTACAGCATGTATCATCTATCAGGATGATGGATGGGAATATACGCTTCTGCTCGCTGGACTGTTCTGTTGATATTAGTCTTTGACACGTGGACATAACTCTTTTTAAATATGATATTTTTCTCCTTGCTACGAAACAACACTGAAATGGAGAAGCTTTTTTTCACACCTGAAGATACAGCACCTCGCTCACCAAAGAGCCTTAAATACTTTTATGTTTTCTGGTGTCTTGTTTTTCTTCTGCTGATTTGGATATCAAATTAACTAGTGGTTCTGTTTTACTCGATGTAATATATTCCAATGCAAATGTTTATCCAATTGCCTCTGTGGTATTGACAACATGTAGTTGAATTACTGCCATTCCACTTGTCATCTAGCTAGCATAGAAGATTCAACTAAGACCCGATTATCATAATTCTGTTCGGGCCGGGGTGGATCCAAACTTCAGGCCTGTCTCGTATTACCTCAACTTGAAGACAGACAGGTTTGATTTCTGACTGCTTTCATCCCGAAGTCTAATAAATGAGTTGTGGGAACTGTTGTCTTTCTTTTCATAAACTAAACTCAAACTCAACTAATTCAAATGTGTTGATATTTTTTACGTTACATTTTACTTTAGCAACAAATTGTATTCAGCACTTCTGTTTTATCAGGCATTTGTAGTCTTCAATTAATTTGTGTTTACTTATTTATTTTGCTTTCACTCTAAACTTTTAATACTGGAAGTGAATTGATTGAGTGATTCATGTTTCGTATTTATAACATGTAGCTCAAATGTGGCTAAAGTTTATACTTTTTAATCTTTCTTCTAAAGGTTCCTTTGGAAGGCGCTATGCTATGCAGTTTTATAAATATTTTTTATTTCAGTTATGTATGTCATTCACAATGACCAAATTAAAAAACGTTTAAAACATATGTTTTCTTTTTGAGATATTATGTAAGTGAGAATATGTTGTGACGTATTTACGGCTATGCTATATAAGCCTTTGAAATTGAACATGACCTCAATTTTACACAGCCACAGCTGATGTGTGGTATGGTTGCTACTGTTTATGTCAATATTTGACAACCCTCAAATGTAAGCACAAAAAATTTGGATACCCAGATAATTCCAGATATTATAAAACTGTTGTAAACCATATCAGTGAATGTCATTTTAAAACAATGTTTCATGAAGTTATCATGGCATTTGCAGTGTTATGCTTCCAGTAAGTAATATCATTATTTATTTAATTTCATGTGAAATTGTGTTAATATCAGTTGAAATGGAGAACTACAGAGCCCCAAACCATAGCATCTAAACTATACCACCTTCCCTCACCTCAGCCCTTCACATTCTGAAAGCACTAACTTCAGCAAGAATCTGTGGAACGCTAAGTAGAGCAGTACCTGTGTGTCGTCAAACACTGCCGTGCCTCATACCTTTGGGTTATTTCATTGACCAAAGTTGCTAAGCTACTAAGATTTAAACATGCCAGGTTTTAAGATGGCCGTAGTATTATTTCCCGATCAGCATTCTCGGGACTAATTGACCTTAATTCTATTGTTGTCGTTTTTTTTTTGTCCAACTGTGTCCGGCTTCTACAGCACTTCTGCTTGTGTGAAACGCCATTGGTTTGGAAAGCCAGATTGGTCATGTTTTATGTTCCTCCTTCCTGCCTTGTTATATATCATTCATCAGGGCCCTAACCCCATAAAGTTAGCTGCCTTTGTGGCAATTGTAGGAGCTGCTTACAACTTCCGTGTGACTTTGATGTAATGAGGAAATCATTTATAGGCAACACTCTATTTATGAGCTTCCCTTTAATCAAAACAAGGCAGCCAGGCAAGCCCTCTGCGCAGTCAAGCAATCAGCTTAATGAACAGCAGATTGCCAGAGATGTGCGAGGATCTGTTTGGAAATGTCAGGTTGAGGCTATATTACTTGAGGGAGTAGTTCTTTATCTATTGAAACAATGTTCTATATTTGTGCTAAATAAATGGTTTCACCATTATTGTGATTTATTGTGATGACATGCTCTTTTTGCTCTTCAAGGCATTAATTAAAGAGGCCAGATATTTGATTAGATTGATTCTGATTTTAAATAAACAAACAAGAAGCAAAACACTGAGAAATCATTATGTCAATGTTTTGTTACACCGCTCTAGCGCCAGAGGATATGACATATGAGTGTTTGGGAATATGTAATTCAACCACGGAGAGGATCCGTGTCCAATGCCTCCTCTAGTGGTTGTGTTGGATATGGCACCTTGGGAACAAACTGCTGAGGAGGAGTTCAGGGCCAAGGTTCTCGGTAGGTGGTGCTATGATTCCAATCTTAAAACTGTAAATTGAGAATGGCAACAAATACAACAATAACTAATTTACGCTCACATACTTTGCATTTGAATGTAATGTATTGTAATGTAATGTGTTGCATACATGTGTGTACAAATTGTGGACCACAAGTTGCATTCTAGATTATTTTGATTATATGTTTAATTTATAAGATCATGTTTAGTCAGAAATAAGTATTGTAAAATAACATTTTGAAGTGTGTATTGGCCATTGCCTTGTGTTTGTTTTCATAAGGACTTTACGAGCCCATTTCTTCCTCTTGGCCAAGGACCTCAGGAAGCTGAAAGCCCAGCATTGGGGACACAGGGGTGTAATCTGTTTATTGATTTATATTGTGTAATGAGTCTGAGAGGCAGTCTTCCACACAACAGAACGCACATTGTTCCAATGTATTTTTAATGTCATCTCTCCAACTCATCGCACCATTGGGGAGGGGAGCTGGAGAGAGGAGCTGAGAGGAACAGAGAGGAACAGAGAAGAGCAGAGAGGAACAGAGAAGAGCAGAGAGGAACAGAGAGTAACAGAGAGGGGAAGAGAGGTACAGAGAGGAACAGAGAGGGACAGAGAAGAGCAGAGAGGAACAGAGAAGAGCAGAGAGGAACAGAGAGTAACAGAGAGGGGAAGAGAGGTACAGAGAGGAACAGAGAGGGACAGAGAGGAGCAGAGCGGAACAGAGAGGAGCAGAGAGGAGCAGAGAGGAACAGAGAGGTACAGAGAGGCACAGAGAGGAACAGAGAAGAGCAGAGAGGAACAGAGAGTAACAGAGAGGGGAAGAGAGGTACAGAGAGGAACAGAGAGGAGCAGAGAGGAACAGAGAGGAACAGAGAGGAGAAGAGAGGAACAGAGAGGAGAAGAGAGGAACAGAGAGGAACAGAGAGGAACAGAGAGGAGCAGAGAGGAACAGAGAGGAGCAGAGAGGAACAGAGAGGAGCAGAGAGGAGCTGAGAGGAACAGAGAGGAGCAGAGAGGGGAAGAGAGGGACAGAGAGGAACAGAGAGAAACAGAGAAGAGCAGAGAGGAACAGAGAGGAACAGAGAGGAGAAGAGAGGAGCTGAGAGGAGCAGAGAGGAACAGAGAGGAGCAGAGAGGAACAGAGAGGAACAGAGTTCGTATTTGTTTGAACATCACATTCTGATGACCAAACGATGGGGCCTGGGAACATGGAAAATATAATGAATCAATCCCTTGTGTTGCCATGTCCATTGATTGTTGTCTTTCTGTGACAGGATTTAATTGGTTCCACCACTGGAGAGAGAGAGGCAGTCAGTTTGGCAAACGAGGGGCTACATTGATTTTCCACGAAGGGATTGTGTTGGCTCCTGGGAGTATGATACATACAGTAGGTAGTACATCATGTAAACGTGTATATTCAGTCATGATTATATTTTCTAGGAACAAGACTTCCCAACATACTCCCTCCATTCATTAGTAGTATGTTCTTTGTTCTTGTGGAAACTGACAAATCATGGTTCTACTAAGCTGACATATGGATTTGTTTTAAGATTATCATGCCATGGATCATTTCAATATTCGATTTGGAATTTTAGGAAAAATGTAAGTACTATTTGATAAAATATAGAATTTGGCCTTTACTACTATAGCCCATAGAAACACATTGAATAACACATTCATAAATGGCAAAACAGACAGTAAAAAAAAAAATCGTAACAAACAAGGTTTTGAAGTGTCTGTCCTATATCTAGGAGATAAGAAAGTTCAAGAAATACTTTTGTTTTTCTTACACATATTTAACCCCCTTTTTTTGTTGGGACAAAACTACCTCCATAACTCCATTCAGTTTTTTAAACCGGTACCGGGTTACTTTCAGACGAGTCCCGTGACACTTGTGGGGGTCGTAGAGCAAACAGAGAACACAATCATGTTGTGGGGTTAGTGTAGTTAGTAGGCCGACATAGACGGATGCGGTGGATTGAGACAGCCTATGAAAAACATATTTTTTTATCTCTAGCTTAAACTGACAGATTTTGATGGGGATTGTTTTATTATGTTAATTAGATTGACACACGGGTGCGTCAATAGACTCTTAAGGATATTAAAGTATGACCGAATTCGTGGAAAACACAAATTCACAGCGATGTGGGTTTGTAGTGGCTTAAAGGGATGTACTGTCAATGTTAGCAGCTTTTGAACATTTGGCTCCCCCACTCATCCACCCAGCCCCAGGCTCTTTAAATCAATGCATCTGTCACTGAGATTGTCTTGCTCTCCTGGGCACTCAAAAAACACAGACACAGTCAGTCAGCTTGTGTAACACACAACCAAGAACCAGTGTGGAGTGGCGACAGACAGTCCATCAGTGCCAGCCCAGCCAGCCCAGGAGGGCTGGAGAAAACCAGGCCAGTTGGCCTCCTGCTCTGAGTAAACAGACTTGTTCAAACTGAACACACATTTTGAGAACAGACACCACTCTAAACCCAACAGGACTCCTCTTATGTCATATCCATGTGCTGTGCTCTTTTGTGATGTATGTGGACACTCGCATGGGGTTTTGATTTAATGTAAGGCCAAGCCCTGCACTTAATTGTCCTGTGTAACGAATGTCAGCACATGGAGACGTCGCTGCACAGAGGATAAGGTAGAACTGTCGGTTAGGCCCTGTTATTTCATTAAGTATTGGTTGTCTGATGTAGCTTGTACAGTAGTCCACTACTACTGATCCATTTCAGCAGGA